CTCATCCTGGCCATCTTCACCATCCCGCTCAGCAGCAGCAGCAGCAGCAGCATCGGCAGCATCGGCACCCTCCTCCCGCGCCTCTCCATCCTCGCAAACCCCACCTCACCCGGCGGCAACCCCAACCACCGACCCCGCCGCGCACAGCCAAAATGACGACCCTCTACCTCCGCGAACTCGAAATCGCCCAGCTCGCCGTGCAGCGCGCCGCGCAGCTGACCAAGCGCGTCTTCCACGAGACGGCCAAGGGCACCGTGTCCAAGGACGACGCGTCGCCCGTGACGATCGGCGACTTTGGCGCGCAGGCGCTCATCATCGCCGCGCTGCGGCACAACTTCCCCGCGGACGCCGTCGTGGCCGAGGAGGAGGCCGCCCCGCTGCGCGCCGACCCGGCGCTGCGCGACCGCATCTGGGAGCTCGTGCGGAGCACCAAACTGGAGGATGTTGGCGCCGAGGGCTTGTTGGGCGGCGGGGTGCGCGATGTGGACGCCATGCTGGAGGTTATTGATCGCGGGGGCAGTAAGGGGGGAAGGGTGGGGAGGGTGTGGGCGATTGACCCGATTGATGGGACGAAGGGGTTTCTGAGGGGTGGGCAGTATGCGGTTTGCTTGGGGCTGTTGGTGGATGGGGATGTGAAGGTTGGGGTGCTGGGGTGCCCGAACCTGCCGGTTGACGATGCGGCGCCGTTGACGGCGGATATTGGGGCGAACCAGACGGATGATGAGGGCCGGGGTGTGCTGTTCTCGGCTGTGGTGGGTCAGGGAGCGACGAGCAGGCCGCTTGGGCCCGGCGCGCTGAAGGAGGGGAAGAAGATCGCCATGAAGGCGGTAACCGATATGGCGAGCGCGAGTTTCTGCGAAAGTGTTGAGGCGGGACACTCGAACCAGTCCGACTCGGCGCAGATCGCGCAGAAGTTGGGCATCACGAAGCCGAGTGTCCGGATGGACTCGCAGGCCAAGTATGGGTCTATCGCGCGGGGAGCTGGCGACATCTATCTGCGCCTTCCGACCTCCAAGACCTACCAGGAGAAGATCTGGGACCATGCGGCCGGCGATCTGATTGTACGGGAAGCGGGCGGCCAAGTCACGGATACCACCGGTGCGCGGCTCGACTTTGGCGTGGGGAGGACGCTGGCGAACAACAAGGGCGTGGTTGCAGCCCCGGCGGCAGTCCATGGCCAAGTTATCAAGGCCGTTCGAGAGGTTCTCAAGCTGTAATAGGCTGCCCTCGCAACGCAACGCGCAATAATGTTACATATTTATAGCACAGGTGCAACCACAGATAATCCCGGCGGCGAAACGTACTCCTGCTAGACATACAATTACCCACCCGCGAATCCTCTATTTGATCTTCTTCTGCTTCAGCTTGATCGTCTCGTCGTTGACGAAGATGCCCTTGCCCTTGTACGGCTCCGGCACTCTCCACCTGCGGAGCAGGGCGGCAAACTGCATGATCTCCTCCTTGTTGATGCCCTCGAGCAGCAATCTCGTCGGCTGCGGCGCGCTGGCCCGCATGCTCGTCGGGAGGCCCATCTCGACCGGGTGCGAGAAGCCCAGCTTCAGGCAGACAAACTGCTGCCCGGGGTATGTCTCAAGCTTGGGGCGCGGCTCGACCGTCGCTCGGTAACCGATACCAACCAGCCGTAGCACGGCCGTGTGGCCCTCTGATACACCCATAATGTAGTTGTTGAGGTACGACCATGTGGTTCCTGCGGGAGATGCATTGTTAGCCGTCCTGGTCTAGCCCCGTCTCTGGAACGCTGCGACGTTGCCATACCCCACATCTCTCTCTGGTTCCTTTGGTCCCGGTCCTTGACGCCCAGCACCACCTTCCTCGCCGGCTCGTCGTACTCAAATTCGACATAATCGGGGATCTCAAGCTCGAGTTTCCCTGTCCCGAGTCAGCGTCCTGCCCCCTGATCGGTTTCGACCGCGGGCTACTCACCCAGGGGCCCTGTCACTGTGATCGGCCTCTTGTATGTCTTCAGATACGAGGTCATGTCCTTCTTGACAAAAAGGTCGCCTATCGTGAGCTCGACGCCGGGGGGGATCGAGAGCGGCGTCCGCCCGAGCTTGGACTGGCGGTTTGTCGTCGCCGAGAAGTTTCGCCGGGCGGCGGCCGGGGTCGTCTGGAAGGCCGGGACGAGAAAGCTCGGCAATGTCACGGCCGAGGAGCATGAGGCGGCGGCGGCCCTCTCCAGGGCCCGCCTCCCTGTTCTTGGTGCGAGCATCGTGGCGTGGGGAACCGGCGGGACTTCAATTCGCGACGCGCTGCTGCGGATGGGTCTGGCTGCGATTGCGATTGAATGCTCTCGAAAAAGATCGGGCGCCGGGAAAGCATCGGCTGATTGGCCTGGGTGGGTGCTTAGTCAGCGTTCGGGGATAATCCCCTTACATCCTCACAACTTCAGGCTCAAAGAGTAGCAGTTTCTCACTGCCTTGCAAGCAGCAAGAAGTCCTTCACAGAGAAAGCCATGTTTGCTGTTTTCCTTGTCACACGATTGCGTCTTGTTAATTTGTGGAAGTTAAGCTGACTCCCGAGAGCTCCCCCACCCCTGTACTTTGTTTGTAGCTCATTCTGTTTCAACCCTCCACCATGGAGAGTCCTCCAACATCCCGGTCTGGGAAACTCGCGATCTCAAGTTGACACGTCTTATTGACGACAGTCACTCGCAGTGCACAATGCTCTTTCCTTCACTGTCGCGATGACCCCGGTGAAACCCTTCCCCCAGAATGCGCCTTCCATTTCCTCAACAACCACGTTTCCGCAACTTCCCCATCATCGTTTAATCTTTCCAATCTCAACGGCCACTCCAAGCATTTCCGTCCTCTGGTGTTGATGACTTTGCGGGAATAGCATCAGTCGCCGTCGCTCAGCACTTTAATATATACAACCAAAATGCAGGCCCGCATACTCCTTCTAGCGTTTTGGGTGCCTTGCATCCACGGTCTATCCTGGGGAAGCGGGAGAGTTACAATCCGTAAGTCATATCGCTACCTCGAGAATGCAAACACTGATTCCGGTATAGCTGTGACAAACTCAGACAAGCCCTCCGAACTCCTGCAAAAGTCGCGGCTACCGAATGTTTACGCCGTCGCTCTGAGCGAACTCCAAGAGCTCGAGTCGGAGCCCCTCTGCCATCGAGTCGCCGCGCGACTCCTCGTAAACAACTGCCAGTTGGTGGACGGAAAGGATGAAGCCACAATTCTCACCGACAGCGGCCGGCAGGTCCGGGACTTTGTTGACTCCTACGCCGCCAGCCTAGCCATTTGCGATCTTGAACGAGGAAGCTTCTCGATACCGCGGGAATGCGCCAAGTTCCGCGAGCCGTCGCTCAGTCAGATCGCGATCCGTAACGAGCCGCAGCTACATGTGAGCCCGAGAGAGATTGGGCTCTGTCTCTCGGCGCTTGCGGCGTCGGATGCGGCGTGGAGCACCTGGGTGAGCTACCGCCACAAGGCGCTGCGGTTTTGCGAGGCTGCGCGAGCCGATAATGAGAAGGGTAGGTGCACTCGGTATCTCCAAGTTTGATCGTGGCTGACACTGTCACAGCCCAGAACATTCTGCTCTATCAGCGACTCACCCAAGTTGTTGCCAGACTTACTGACGGCGTTGAGGCTGAGCTGCAAAAACGGATGGATGATCTCGACAACCGTGCCCGGCAATCGGTTGAGAAGCTCGAACAGCTCGCACCACAAATTGGGCGGCTCAATAATGGGCTGGAGAAGATGGAACGCTATCTTTCCGGAGACCTCGATTTCGCAATGCGAAAGACTTCTCAATCTGCCCGCGATGGTCTCGAACACGCCGAAAACCTCCAACAGCTGCTGAGTATCCTACTCACCAACGTCCTTGAAGGCAACTCCCAGCTGGCCTTCGCGCATGAAACCTCGCTCCAACAAGCATCCCAGAAGGTCAACGACGACATGGGGGCCTTGATGGCAGTGGTCTCAACAGCGATAGCCTCTTCCAGCTCTCTCCAACAGCAAATAGTGAGTCGTCCACGATTATTCCTACCCTTGCACCTGAAGCTAATCCCCGCAAGCAATTCTCTACTGAACACGCTGTCATGCTCGCACAGCGCCAAGACACAATAGAGCAGGGCATGGACCGGCTGCTCACAACCACCGAGGCACTCTCATCAAAGTTCGACGACCACTCCACTATGCTGAAGCAAGCCAACAACATCACCAACGATATCTTGGACGCCCTAGAAGAAACGGCTGCCGTGGCGTCATCCATGAACGATTCTTTCTTCACGCGCGCCACGACTCGGAGCTGGTGGCCGTTTGTCGTTTTCCCGACCGCGTCGCTCGTCATGGGCTCTTATGGGCTTCCACCTTCCATCACTCGGAATCTTGGGTTATTGGCGCTGGGGGAAGCCATTGGCTTCACGGTCTCATCATACGACAAGCTCACGAGACAGTTTTTCCTTTTCTCTTCGTCGGAAGTCACGACAAACACGACGACTGCATCCTCACTCTGATGTATTGATGCCGTCCATTCGGTCATTTCTACGCCCATCTTTTTTCTCTTTACGCACGGCGGTGGCCGTATATGGGCCGGGAAGGTTTTGGAGGTTTGGGAGGATCAGCGAACCAGGCGGGATCTTGGAGCTTTACCATTTAGCCAGTCACACTTCGCATCCTCTGCTGGTTATGATGCAACAATTCAGTCGTTCGATCCGTGCCTCATGCGTCTTCTCTCGAGTGTGACATAGTTAATGATGACTTCCATGACATTGGCCGACATTCTCAGGGTGCTGGGCGATGTAAACGCTCCGCTATCAATAACTGAGGATTGTGGGGGCTCAAAACTCATCATCAACGGAAAGACTCGTCGCGAAGGTCGCACGGCGAGTCGGAACGTGATTTTGACGGGTACCTACTTCATATTATCATATTACGGTGACAAAAGAACTTTGCTTATGCAAACGCGATACCAGAGGCTGGCGGAGCAAAGGAGAGAAAAAGGGATGAAGGCATGAGAACGAAAAAATGTGGGATAACCAGGAATCGAACCTGGGTCCTCTCGGATCGCTGTGAAACCACAACGAGAAGTACTGACCACTATACTATTATCCCAATGTTGAAGTTGATGTTCCGAGCTCCCACATACAAAGGAGCCAGGCATTGCAGTAGGCATAATTCCCTGTCCGTTCAGCAATACCTACTCCGTACCCCGGCTTTCAACCTAAACTTAATTTCGTATGAGATAGGTAGTTGTTTTCGTAACCCTGGTTTCTTCTATCAGGAAAACCGTGCCCGAAAGTGTTATCCTCCTCGCATAGCATAGAAGCATAGATGGGATGTAAGTCGCAAGTTGCTGCCAGGCCGCCAAAGACCTGTCAAGTTTGGCATCTCCGACGGCGTTCTCGGCAACAGAACATTGGATCTGATTCGTGGAACCAGAAGTAGCAATATGGCAAAGGCCAAGTGGGATATTATCACCCGGGGAGTCTCGATGTATGTGGCCGAGGCTGTTATCTCTCAGAACTTTAGTGTCTGGCAACTTTTAATGAACAACATGTATCCATCCTTGTAGTCCGGAAACAACGAGACTCAAATCGTCGATTTTGGCAGACAAACACCCAAGAACAACTCAACGTCGTCGCGTACACCCCAAAACGTCAGTTATACCAAATAGCATTCATCCCAAACCCCGGCTCCGGAATCTGCACCCTCGCCACGCGGTGCAAGAACTCGTCCTTCCACCGATACATCTCCAGCCACCCCTCTTGATCATCCGTGATCGCAACCCACTCATCACTCCAGTCACACGGCGACACGGCATTGCTATGCCCGCCGCTCGTCGGCGTCGGGTTCAGGCAGATCTGCCTCTCCACGCTGCCGCACTCGCGCAGCTTGAACGCCGCCACGTAGCCCTGCAGGTCAAAGCGGTTCGCGCGCGCCGACGCAAACATGTAGCGCCCGCTGGCCGTCAGCGCGACCACGTCGGCGCGGTACAGGCCCTTGGCCGTCGCGGGGTCGTGCGCGGGGATGCCCGGCGGGATGAGCGGGAAGCTGTGGTGCGTGTACACGGGCAGGCGCGTCGCCGGGTCGACGACGTACTCGCACAGGCGGTTGCCGGCCTCCATGAGCGCGTACAGGTAGTTGCCCGAGGGGTGCATGGCGACCCAGCGCGGGTGGTCGCCCGGGCGCGGCGCGTCGACGCTGCCGACGAGCGCGACCTCGCCCGAGGGCAGCTTGCGGTGCGTCCAGAGCTTGTTGGCGGTCAGGTCGGCCGAGTAGAGGTAGGTCTCGGACGGGTCGAAGACCATGCCGTGGATGCCGGTGTTGGGCTGGTAGGGGTAGTTTTGGATGTTGGTCGCGAGCGTGCCGGTCGGGGACACGGAGAAGACGTTGCCGAAGCCGGCGTGCTTGTAGAAGGGGTTGGCGTAGACGGCGTAGGGCGGCTTCTTGGCCGCGAGGAGGAAGATGGCGCGCGTGTTGGTGTCGGGGCTGCTGGCCTGGGCTGCGGGTCGAGCCGGTCAGTACGGTGCGGAAGAGTGGATTTCAAGTTTGAGGGGGGGTGGCATGTACGGTCGCCGCCGATGGGATGTGATGCCTCATGGATGATTTCGGTCGGGCTTTTGACGGCGAAGCTGGACCATTTCTTCATGGCAGCGCCGTAGATGTTTTTCTTGGTGTGCTGCTTTCATTGTGAGCGACATGCTTGCGGCAATGGTTGCTAGTTGTGTCGTACGTCGAAGGTCATCCATGATATCGGCTCGTCATGCGGAATCTCGGTGCGCTTCACCACCTTCAGCGTGAGCTTCTCGCTGTCGAATTGCACGGTGAAAATGGCCCCTGGCGGGGTCCAGGTGCCAATCATCAAGTGGTGGAGGGGCATGGTTGAAAATGACGTCGGGCGACAACAGCTCCGTCACTTCGTTGCGCAGAGTCCAAGACGAGACAGTTGATCGTACGATTATTGAAAAGAAGACGGGAATGCTAGGGAGAAGTGCAATGTCTCTCTCTTGACGACTTTCTCCCCCAGCCGCTGCCTCTGGCCGCAGTATGAACATTTCCCCCTCGGCCCGTCCATGTAGGGGGATTGCGATGTCGGGATGCACCTGGAAACGCAGGGGTCGGTTGTGGCGCCGGGAGATGGTCGCAGTGCCGCAAAACCTTGTTCCCCAGATCCTGCCAACTGGGACCGAAGGACAAACGCCCATCCCACGTCCCACGTCCCACATCCGAGACCGTGGCGCGCAATTTCGGATCGCGAGGTCGGATGCCTGGTACCGGGCACCATTCAACAAGCTCCCCAGGGGATGAAATGGCGTGTTTGCAGATTCGAGCAGATCTCCCGATCCCACTGCAAGGGGCTCTGGAACAACTCGACTAATCGGCGATTCATGGGCTCCCAGCGCCAAGCGCGAGGTATTAGCCGGGGCCTGGTCCGCTTCATCGAGAACCGGTGTCAGTGCGGGACGGGATTGGCGCGCGTGCCTGGAACTTCGGCTGTGGGCGGGGCTTCCTGGCGCTGCCGCGGCGCTGGAGTGGACCCCGTCGCAGGGCTAAACTTGTCCCGCCTCGCCTCTTCCCCGTCTCCACTCCCGTGGTGGTGACCTGGAGACGGAGAAGCTGCCGTGACGGGACTCCGATCGCCTGCGGCGGGGAAAATGACACGACTTGTACGGTCCGCGTTCTATCCGGGGGGCTTGGTGCGATTTCAGGGGGAGGCTTCACGGCGAGGCGAACGCCGTGTGGAAAGGATATTTAATCTAGGACACTCTGTCCTGTTCCGACGCCAGGTTTCCTCATCCACATCATCTCCAGTTTCTACACTCGTGTTTCCCTGATATATATATCCCCATACCAGGCCCAGCCTTGCCCACCAGGTCCCGTAACTTCTTGAACAACACAACACCACAACACCACAAAACCACAACACCCAACACCACCAACACCCTCACAATGGCCTCCCACAGATTCGACCCCAACTTCACCGCCCAGGTGGTTGAGGGCATGGGTCCCAACACCACCCCCCGCAACCGCCAGCTCCTCGGGTCCCTGATCACCCACATCCACGACTTTGCCCGCGAGACCGAGCTCACCATCGACGAGTGGATGGAGGGCGTCAAGTTCGTCAACGCCCTGGGCGAGATCTACGCGCAGAGCAACAAGACCCGGAACGAGACCCACCGCATCTGCGATGTCCTCGGCCTCGAGTCGTAAGGCCCCCCATTTCCCCCAAACCACCCCATCCCATCATCCCTCAAGTCCTGACCCCATCCCAGCCTCGTCGACGAAATCGCCCACAAAGTCATCTCCGAGACCGGCATGGACCCGACCTCATCCTCGATCCTCGGCCCCTTCTGGTCGCCCAACGCCCCCTTCCGGCCCCTCGGCGGCTCCATCTTCCAGGACGGCGTGCCGCCCAACGGGCGCGTCACCAAGATGCACGGCGTGATCCGCGACATCACCACGGGCGCGCCCATCCCCAACGCCGTCTTCGACGTGTGGCAGGCGTCCGCCAACGGCAAGTACGACTTCCAGGACCCCGAGAACCAGACGCCCAACAACCTGCGCGGCAAGTTCCGCGCCGACGCCGACGGCCGCTACAGCCTCTACTGCCTGCACCCGACGGCCTACTCGCTGCCGCGCGACGGGCCCTCGTGGCAGCTGCTGTCGCTCATGGACCGCCACCCGATGCGGCCCGCGCACATCCACATCATGGTCACGCACGAGCAGTACCAGGGCTGCACCACGCAGATCTACCCCAGCGACGACCCGTGGATCACCAACGACACCGTGTTCGCCGTCAAGCCGGATCTGGTCGTCGAGTTCAAGCCGCTGCAGGGCGATGCCACTGCCGTGTTGGAGCTGGAGTATAACGTGAACCTCTCGCCCAAGGGGTATAAGGGCAAGATTTGAGGCGGCGCGGGACTGTGAACAAGGGGGGGAGGGGGGGGGTCATTCCTGTATATACTGGACCATTTGAACCCAGACCCAGCTCTGCACGGGGCTGGTGGCGGGACGGGGTTGGAGGATGATTTTAGAAACAAGTAATTAGCGGCTTGATTTGTATGTTGGATGGTGTATTTTGAGTGCAGGCAAATTTGCTAGATTTAGCAAACCGGATTTTTGAAGATGCGGTGCTCGGTTTGAGAGGTGTCGGATGTGAGGATCATGTTGGATTCTGGTGTTGTCCAGGACCAGCCGGATCATGGGGAACCTGGGTGTAACTGTCTTGAAACCACCGGACGGCATCCGGCCTTTTTCCCAAGGTGCAAGCGCAAAATGTTAACCACGGAGCAAAAAAGCAAAGCAAGCCAAACATCACCAAGCAAAAGTAATGACAACTGTGAGATTCGAACTCACGCCCTTTCGGACCACGGAACAACTGGATCAGTTGAGGGGATCAAGGATAACTCCTTAACGTGGCGCCTTAGACCGCTCGGCCAAGTTGCCTGTTGGTGATTGATGGAGTTGTGGGGTGGAGATTGGGGTTTTGACGTTTGCTGAAGGTGGGGCGGGGTGATGTGCTTGGGTGGAGTCGGGGGTAGGGGTTCGGGTTCGGTTTTCAGGGGCCCTCATCCCAGGTGGGTGCTGATGAGTTGGGGCTGTTGGAGGGAGTGTTCTGGTTGACGTGTTGTGTTTTTATGAGGTCAGAGACGAGCAGATTGGTTAGGAATGGCTAGGCATGGTTTGATATGAAAGGGGCGGTGCGAATAAAATTCAGAATCAACAAGGCGATGATTACACCGGCCCATGCCGATGGCAGCGAAAGAAGTTAGATATCGTAGTCGGTGGTATCGCCGAGGTTGAAATTACAACTGAGAACTGGGGATTGTGACCAAGGGCCAAATATGAACAACCGCAGGCGCAAATTGGACCTAGGACATCATTGGTGCGAGGAAAGAGCGGCGGTGGCAGACAGCGCTTGATCGCGAATCCGCACATATGGTAGCTTGAACAAAGCACCGAGGCATTATATCCAAGCTCGGATTTGCCCAAGCCCCACGCGCCCTTTTGCGATAGGTGTCCTCTCACTGTAACACCTGCCTGGCTGCAAAGACTTCTTGTTGACACAACACACATATTTACAACGGCCCGGCGGCTGCCTCTATTTCTTC